TGGTACATTGGTGTTAACTTCAAGCCACATTGGAACGCTCCGTGAGGTTAGTAAGTACCTTCGTATTTCACTTGAATCGTCGTCCAACTCGCCAATTGAGGCTCGCTCAAAACGAGGTTACGGCAGTCGTTGCTGGGGTTCAAAGTGCCAATCGAAGTCAATTCATTCACGCAGCAGGCCGTGAATTTGATCAAGTACCATAATGCTATCATTCCCTTGTCAATTTTGAGTTGCAATCTGCCCCGTTTTACCAGTAGGCCGTTCCCATCCGAGCACTCCATCGAATTTCTCTCCACGAGAGAATCACCCCCTCCCCGGAAACGAAAACACAAACAAACACACCAAGAAAAACCAAAAAGCAACAGGAAACACTGCGCAAACCAGATCCAACCACAATGTAAGCTCCCAGAGAAACTCCCCATTCCAATACGGCCGATACAACACTCCCAATGAAGGAAGCCAAGGGATGCCCGTCGCCTCACTTCTTCTTTGGTGAGGGCGAGCTCTCATGCGGCACCTCCCTTGAAGCGTGCCGCTTGATTGGCGAAGACTGCTGAGGGATGTATCCGGACGGGAACATGGTAGGCGGATTGAGGGGAGAGTGGCTTTGGGCCGGATCCTCGTCCTTTGCACCTTGCGAGGACGTCGCCTGGCTGTCTCCGGCAGCTCTTGATCCCAACGGAGGCGTGGATGGCGTTTGCAATTCTCTCTCTTCCATGGCACCCCAATACCAAACCGGGCTATCTGGACCCTTGTCTGGAATGGCGGGGTGGGTTCCTGTGCTGTCACCAGAGCGAGCAGCCCGATCAACGTAAACCAATCGTTCGAACCGGTCCTTCAAATGGACGTCGACGATCTCGTAAATGGCCTCAAAAACCGGAAGAGGAGTCCACGGAGGCAAGGAGCACCCGAACCAGTCTGAATGGACACCTCCGTAGAGGAACTTCTGGTTAGACGATCCTTCCATGTGCTTCAAGAGAAGATAACACGAGGGGCAGCAACGCTTGTTCACTGGAAGTGGAGCTGCCATGTCCTTGAGCGCATTGAGGACTTGAGGGCCCGGAAGTTCAAGAACGTTGATGCTGTTTTCGGTCTGATGAACGGTTGTCGCATAAGGCTCCTCTGAGTTGCTCAGCGCGGAGAGGCACATGAGAATCGTTTCTGCGTGCCAAGTGCCTGGGAAAGCTTCCGTGTCGGGTCGCTTCACTTGTTCATAGAACCAGGCCCCAATCTGGTGGCGCTCGGAACTTTCCAGCTTTTGCCCATCTTTCAGAACAAAGCCCTCGAGAAATTCTTCGATCTTCATCATCTTCTGATCCGCGAAAGTCGGTGCAGTCTCTACAGGCTGCAACCTGGCTCTCAGGATTCGCTTCACCAAGATCTGGTCCGCACTGACTATCGTGCGGATTGCATCTTCATACCGACAGATGATGCCCAAGAAGCCGGAGAGAGAGGCATGGTAGCCGACAGTCTTGTGGATGTGGATCAGGTTTTGGAATTCGGCGTCAGATTCATCGAGAAGATCTTGCCATTCTGGACCGGATCTGTTGAAGTGTCCGCTGGCGTCGATGGTAAGGCTAGCCATAGGTCGATCCGGGGTCCTGGGGATCGTGATAGCCGGGCCTTGAGATGTCTCCGTTGGCTGCGTCATATGCTCCAACCAATTGGCGGACTCGTTGTCTTTCGAGACGATATTGCCGACTGATTTTCCCTGGAGCCCATACCCATGTCCTGTTTTCCATGTACCTGTTGGCTGGATGATGCTGCTCAGCCACATCATGTGAGAGTCCATTACCTCGGGGAAGCGTCGACGAAGGTTACTTAAAAGGAATAGGGCAGCTTGCAGATGTGGGATGTTTGCGTCAAGCCATGTCAGAACCTCGGCCTCCTTACGCCGCAAGTCAGCTTCGCGATTCTGAGCTTTCTTGTTGCGTGAGGCGCTCGGGATACGATGGGCATTCTTCGCTCGAGTCCTAAAGAGCTCATTCGCGGACGTTCCGATAGCACGAGATGTAAACTCGTCTTTGATCGTCTTCTGGAAGTGGCGGATTACCTTCATGAGTGATGAAACGACCCGATGAAATTCTATTCGTCCACTGACGTTGTAGAACTCTTGGCCGGCATCGACATAGAGACAGCTTTCCTCCCATGATGGGGCCATGTCTACAGTACCCGCTGGAGTCACTTGTCTCCAAGCCAGTGCTGCGCGATAGATAGACCGGAGAGCTGAGGCTTGTTTGTCGGATCTCAAAACTCTGTTGAGGCTGCTGAGCTCCTCGTTGGGGTTGACATCGCCCCCGATGCAAAATGGCTGACCCAGAAGCTGAATTGGCGTGGTCTCGTCAGTGGAAGCTGTGAATCCGCTGAAAACACTTTCATGCTCGTTGGAAAGTTGAGTGTGAACCATGCCACGTAGCATTTCGACCGTCATACAGAGATTGTCGCCAAAGTTGCGGTGGACGAAGCCAGCATCAATGCGAGCAGTAATCTTCGCCCGTGACTGGCAATAGATGTACCGTGTCAGAAGGGCAGTAATGATGCTCTTCTGCTCATCGTTAGGAGAAAGGAAGAGTCTCTTGATGATAGCGAACACATTCTCGGCGTGTTCCCAAAGCCGCATTCCCTGTCGCTTTCCATTCAGTTTGTCGGTCGTGTAATGTCGCAACCAGAAGCTAGGGACATCCTGAGCCGTTGTGATGTCGTCGAGACCGCTCGTTGGTTGGCTTACCGGAAGCCGAACGCTCAAAGCTGGAATGGGCCGGTCTTCGCCTTCCGTCACCTTCGGGGGTTTTCCGTGTTCCTCGTATTCGGGGTTGGCAGAGATGTAATATACATCTCCGTCTCCGTCGTCCTGAGAAGAGCTGGATTCTTCAGTGGGTATTTCGGATCGAAGATGGAGCGGACCGCGACCCGTGGGAGATAACGCCACGATCTCTTTGTCGCGAATAAGTGTTGCCACAAGAGCATCGAGAAAGGAGTTCAGGTGCCTGAGCTCATGTTGACTGCCCGAGGGCAGACCAGAGTGTTTCAAGACCGCGTCGAGCTTGTCCGACTTGAAAGTGAATCCATGGACCGGACTGACTGGATTGGACTTGGCGAGCATGAAAGTCATCGTTCTGAACTTCAAGAGCTGCTCTCTCGTAGGGAATTTGGCCGGGATACCAATGTTCACCATAGATGGCTCGGATGTTGTAGATGACGTTTCGGCAGGACCCGTGATAGGCGCGGCGGAGGCACTGCCTGTAGACGTTGTGGGCTCGTCATCCGAAGCCATTCTACATCCAACAGTTAGTAATCTTTTCTTTCTTGGGATCTTGCGATAAAGATACATTTCATCAAATGGGATGGAAACTTACTTGTCTGTAGATAGTGGAGGATCCTGTGTTCGAGACGGATGAAGCCTTGGGAAACTTTCGCTGAAGTGTTCACGTCTAAATGTAGAAGGAAGGTTTCGAATTAGTGACTGCCCCCAACCAATACATAGATGCTGGAAGAGATTCTTACCTGACCTTTTGTAGATGAGCGTGAAGGGGAATCCGAACTTGGCAAGACGGCCAATGTTTATTGGAGGATAGACCTAGGTCAGGTCTCTCAGTCTGTCACGATCTTCAGTTGCAGTAAGTGTGAACCTTTCTTACCTTGCTTGGCCTTTACCAAGTATTCGCGGATGAACACTTGCAAGGGCGAGAAGGCTGACACTGAAGAAGATGTTGATGTGGGATAAGGTATCGGTATGGAGTGAGGAAGGTAGTTGAGATGGGTGTGTAGTTGAGACGGGTGAGCTCTGGGAAGAATTCTAGAATGCGTGAGCGGACAAGAGCGCGCGGTTTTAATACCTTTGGTAGAATTCGTAGACACCAGGCAACCAAGGCAAGTAGGCGATCGGGACAGTCTACCTGATGTGAGAAAGAAACAGGAGCAACAGCCTAGGAGCCTTTCTTGCCCATATAGGCAGGCAGGTCTTTGGAATTCATTCGCTCTTAAAGGCAGGTCGATCCCTTCCTTCCTTCACCTTGTCTCTGGTCTCCATGGGTAGATGGCTACGGCTACCAAGGCAGTCATCAAAGACTGCAGGCCAAGGTACTGAAAACGATTGGCTAGAAGTCGAAAGGTTCATTCTGATTGTTACGGAACCTGAACATGAAGTTTTTGTTTGAGAGGAGGGGGGTTATCGGGATACTGCCGTCTTCATTGAGGTTTTAGCCGAGATTACCCTGGCCTCTCAGTCTAAGGTAGGTCCCCAAGCATGGGCGGAAGGCCACCTGCATAGTGCCCATGGACTAGGGTCGGTCAAGGTCTAGTAGATGAGATCGCCGCAGAATCCAGATCAGTGTTGAGGCAGCGAGATACAATTTCTAGTTGCACGCAGTACATCTGATTAGACAACAGGCATAAGTCAGTCTTGTTTGATGTCAATCACAAAGTCAACTTCTTTCGGCTCATCTGAAGCTTTCGTTTGTCATTGGCCCACCGTTTGGGGAAAGAAAGGTTTGAAGAAGTTCATGGAGGCTGTTTGTACTAGCCCCACAAGACAAGAAAAGACACTCAGACATGGATGTTGACATGATGAAGCGGCAACATGGCTCCATGTACCTTTGAACAACAAACTACCTGCGATAATATGACAAAAAGCGGTGGAAAGGAGTCTTTTGAATTCTCAACGGGGGCTTGGTCTGATGCAGTCTATCAAGAATGCTTAGGATGCAAGGCGGAAGATGGGACTGAGGAAGTGCTCAAGCTTCAACGAGATGGTTGAACAAATCTGGGTAGCTACCGTGTTCAGATACATTGGGCAGAGGCATGTCAGGCAAAAAGAACTTCAATTTTACTATTTCTCCCCTCTAGTAAGAATAGAGATAACAATACATTACGCCGAGGAGAACGAAGAAACAGCTCTGGACCGAATTATGGCCTTATTGAAGGGAGTCAATTGCATCTGGCGTCTAGTCTAAGGAATGATGCTGGAAGCTGTATGGAAAAGTTTTCCGAAAACGACAACATCAACACTGTGCCCAGTACGTACTCCATTCATCGGGCGTCCATCCTTCCGAGTCGCGCGCCAAAACATTGATATCGAACTCCTCTTCATCATCTTCCTCATACAACCAGGCTATGTACAGAAGATGAAGCCATTTATTAATTGACTCCTCCCTCTTTCTTGTCGAGCTGACATTGCAAACTGCGTCTTCTATTTCATCGCCATGAAAAGCTCCAAGGTTCATAGCGGGAACGGCTAAACCAGAATGTCGCTGATGGCCCCCAGCAATGGCTCCTGCCATACGTAGGTGTTCATGTACGGATTCTGGCAGCTGCTTGATACTTGCGTGTCGCATAGCTGCAATCACGCTATCATTTTGACGGTATCTCTTTGCCAGATCTATTGGCGTCATGCCGCCAGCATTCAGCGCCCTAAGATCTGCACCGTGATCGATGAGAACCTCGATGACGAGTTCAGGGTCACAGCGATCTCTAAGACGGCTTGCCGCAAAGTGGTGAAGAGGTGTGTTCCTAAAGGCGTCTCGAACATTTGGGTCCACCTTGTACGTAGTTAGAAGAAGCGAAACAGCCGCAGCGTCCCAGTTGGCGCATGCTTGATGCAGCGCATTGAGCTGAGTGCTTTCGTGTGTTGTGAGAGATGCACCGGCTGCGATGAGCAGATCCATCACCTCCCGAACGGGCACAGATGCCACCGTGCGTGTGTAGGATCCTTCTTGATCATCGGCTGCGAAGGCAAAGGCAAAGTATAGCGCGTTCGCGCCTAATCTGAGACGTTCTGATAGCACACCCAGGGAGTATTCAGAGCTGGGTATCGCCTTCAGTGTTGGTGCAAAGCTAAGATAGGCGAGATTGAATGCCTGACAAGCGAACTTGTCACCAATCGTGGTGCCAGGATGGTATGCCCAAACATCTGTCCTTAAGCCAACATCAGCGCCATGCTGTAGAAGCAACGCTAGTGACTTTTCGTCTCGGTTGAATGCTGCCCAGTGGAGAGCTGTCAGGTCCGTCTTGAGCGGGCATCGAGAGGTCTGCTGATAAGTCTCTTCGTAGGGTGTATGATCGATAGTGAACTCCGTGTGGTCCTTCATGTTTGCATCGGCACCGTATCTCAAAGACTTGGCTATCCCAAAGTAGTTTCCCTTTTTGGCAGACAGCAGCAGGGAAGATGCGTAGTTCCTTGCGATGTCGTAGTCGAACAGAGCGGGCGTGATGAGCTCAGAAAATCGTTTGCAGGTCCGAGCCATGTGGGCAATGTCTCTCCAAACGGCAAACCGCTCAAATTTTGCTGATTCGACAGGCTGCCACTGCTCTTCTGCGGCATCGTACCCATAAGCTACCTCATCACCGTAGTTCTCCAAGACAGCCACGACAATCTGGCGTACGATGTTTTCTGGCAGCTCTGACCAGGTGGTGGGGTGCTTGATGTCTGCCTCTTCTTTCTCGTTTAATTGCCGGACGTCAGAGCTGGAGTCTCGAGGGGGCTTGAGCGGGATATCATGCGTTGCAGGTGTGCGGGATTGGCATCGCGTTACACAGGGAAACTGGTAGGTCTCTTCCGAGGAGGCCGGTTTCCGCAGGACCTCCATGTCTGCGTGTATGTTTGAAGAGGATAGCGTTTGCAGAAGCAAAGCTGCGATGACGAACGATGCTTAGGTATGAATGGGGACGTAGGTAATCGTAGAGCCTGAATGTCGTGGTCCGAGGGGGCTGGGTCGATATCGTAAGATGAATCATTCCATAATGAGACTCTGATTTAATGAGGCAATCTCTCGAAGGAAAAATGAGAAGCGAGCTGCGAAACATTAGAGTTTGAATGACAACGTGTATATGAAGGATGGGTACCTGAGAAATCTTAGGTAGGAAGCCGTCTCCGCGGCGTGTTCGGAGAAAGGCTGAAGAGGTGACTCAGCACTCAAGAGGGTGCCCGTTTGCGCCACTGAATAGGGTTGGTGCCGCTTGACCTTGATGGTGCGAAATGACACTGTGCGAATTGATGACGTCGGGTTGGGCGCGACGAGGGGCAGTCGATTGCAGTGAGATGAGGTTTACAAACGAGAGCCGCCTTTTCTCTTCTGGAAGGTGAAGTTGAGGAGAGGAAAACGGTGGGTGTTTTGGCGGCCGGGGTGGAGCCAGGACAATCACGGGTGCCCGCGCACGGGGTGTGGGTCCCGCCGGAAGGCAGGCACCCCGAGACCCCGTTCTCTCCCTGGAATTGGTCTGGACCAAGAAGCACGTGACCATACACCGGAAAGATTGTCACCTAACGGGCGAGATGTGATGTATCAATTCGCCTGGCAGCGTGGTGTTACCCAAAAGTACCTCCCGGTGTAGTGTATCACAGCAGGGTGCCTGCTGAGGTATCTACTACCTTGGGTGCAAAGATCGCCAAGGCAAGAAGGTGACTCAGCATCCGAATCTTTAATCGAGCCCGTCGACATCTGAAAGGCAAAAGAAAATATGAGTGGGCAGGTGTTGAAGGATAGCGAAGCCGGAAGGCTGTGAATGTTTCCCTTACTTCCTATCCGGCGTCGAGATGCATAAGGATGACACTAAAACGATGCTGGGCTGTCTACACCTAAGTATGGGCTCAGTGGTAGAAGAAATGAGTTGGAGAGCTGACCTAGGGTAGCTCAGGTTCAAGGAGCTTCTCAAAGTGCGCAAGGAGATATGCGTATCCCTGACGACCATCGAGAGGTTGAGGGAATTGCTCTCACAATGTTGGCCATACGCTCCTATGCCAGCGTTGAGGGCAAGAATCCTAGGATATTCACTCCCGGCACTAACTATCGGAAGCCTTTACTGCCCATGCAATCGTCACCATCATTACGGCATCCGCGGGCAACGCGGCTTCGCAATCGCTTTGGATAGGTCATGGTTGCGTGCCGGGAGACCAGCTTGTACATTGACCGCATAATCAAGCAAAACCTCCGTTAAGCGACGCACCGTTGAAATGGCAGCAACCAACAGACAAGACGCGGCGAAAATCTCTCCAAACGACACTGCCTTCTCGCATGCCCGTCACCTGGCACCATGTAGATGCAGGAACACAGCTCACGGTGCGATGTCGATAGGGAAGGACCGTCAACCTGGGCCACCGATGGTGCAACGTGGACGCCATCGAAGATAACTATACCGCTGTGCTGACTTCTCGAGATCTATGTGGACGACGACAGAAGCACCAAGATGGAACTAGACCTGGAATTGCTCAACACCGACTGTCGCACGACGAGGTCGACGATTAGATCACGCCAGGCGGCCATCTACTTCGGAACGAGGTCCCAGCCTCCGCACAAAGTTGAAGCCTGGTGTGGCTCGATTCCTCGCACCCTTAGCCCTGCGAGAGCTGCACCGATTATTTGTCCATCTACTCAAGAGTTTTGTGATTAATCCAAGACAATCTATCGACATGTGGGGGGCCGTAGAAAGATGGGTCGCGGACGGAAGCAGCATATTTTCGGCTGGCGTCTAGTATCTACTTCTCCGACGCGCATAGCCCGACATGCCCCCGACGTCCAGGTTGCTATTCAGAGCCCTACAGTCGCGCTGAGTCCTGCTCTCACTCCCGCGTAAGGATGCAGGTGGTTGAGAAGCGTGAAATCGTGTAATGTGACGATGCACTCCAATCGGATAAGATGCTGAGTTGATAAAGCGTTACGATCCGACGGCAGGGTCATGGCGTCGATCATGTGACGAAGAAGACTGAGTGACCTGGAAGAAGAAGAAATTTCCCTTGCCCCTCTTCTACATCATCTCCTTCTCGCGCGAGTTGTCAGTGTATGTATCATACGTGGTGGGACAATGATAACAAGAAACAAGCGCATGTGTTTTGGGAACCATTCTGCATATGTATCGCAGCCTCAAAACCCCTAGCAGTGTACTCCGTTCCTGAGCTTCGGCTGAATCAGGATTGATCGGCCCCACGACGGCGCAGTAGGTAACGGCATGTCACGCCATGCGCGTTGTTATCTCGGCGGGCCGGACAAGGAAACGACAGAAACAGGCGCGACGGGAAGCAGGGGCGTGTGGAGCCTTGGTGGGCGTGTACATGGCCCAGGCGTTCTTCGAGAAGGAATTTGGGACCTTGTTCGCTCATAACTCGGAGAGAAAGTAAAGCATTCGTGACGCATGCCAGGTTCTTACAGGGCGTGCAGGGCTGGAAGGTCTGGACCTGAACTGCGAAGCTAGGACGAATCCCGAGATTGAGGCTCCCACCGCCTGTTTATTGAGTAGTGCGAAAGTGGGTTCTGACTCGAGAGGCTCGTAAGACAGTTCGGATGGGGTGATCATGATGTTATCCTGGGAGTCGGACAAAACCGGTAGATGACGGTCAATGCCGGGCATCGAGCTGGTCAAGGCTTCTTGTTTTCGTTTTCGTCGCTTTGAGCTTGGAGGCGCAGGCGATTGCAACTTTCGTATCTGGGAAGAATGAGTCGATTATTGAACAATCTTAGACCTCAAAGATAACAGTGTCGACAACTGGTTTATTCTGATTGAGAACAGGTACTGCTGACCTCCACTGTCTCTGCCGGGTGGATGTTGGCGAGGAAAGTGCCTGCAGAAGCGAGAGAAAAAGCGGTGCAGCAGGATCTCTCGCTTCGTAGACACGCTTGTTCAAATCGGGCGTGGCGCATGAGGTACTCCTTAGTCATCCAGCCACACTTGCCATCACGATAGGAGCCACTCGGAAGGCTGCCCTGGTCGCCATTGTCCAACGGAAAGAGCCACTTCAGAGACTCACCGACACTGACCGACACCGGGCAGGCGGTAACTGGCCGGACGGACATTACACCGGATAATGTCAGGCCCGTAACGGCCCGGCATTCTCCACTCATTCATGGGCCTTGAAGGTTGACAGGCCCAGTTCCCTGTCTCGAATCATCCAACTTTTTGGCCGACATGTCACCGCATCCACTTTGTTTTCGACGCTCCCGCGACCATCAACCTTGCATCATCAGCCACTTCGCGCCGATGATTTGCACCAAAAGCACGACCATCACATCAGTATCAATCGCGCCACAAAGACCCTAATCTGCAGACACACCCTCGTCATCGCGTCCCCTATCCACGGACAGGACCTTCGTTCCTGGCAGGGTCCGCGTCAATTGGTTACTGATCCGTGAGGATACACTTTTTGCCCTGCCTTTCGGCATCTCCACCTTATCGGCCTGTCTCTTCAAGATACCTTCACCTCGAATCCGACCAATCTCTCTAGCCACCCCTCGCAATCTCAGCATACACCCCCCTTTTCGACATTGCTTCGGACTCATCGACAGTTACTTAAATATGACCTGCCTCGACATGTCCTCGGGGCATTATTCCGGTCCTTCCTAAATGGCACGAGCCTTAGCTTGACATAGCAACTACACTACTACAATCATCTTACATCTTTGCCATCAAACTACGACGACCAACATGTCTGGTCTAACTCTAACAACACCAATCGACTCATTACCCAATGAGGTAAGCACCTGCCGTTGCCCATCACAGCAGAGCGCCAACACTCTTATGCTACACTCCCGCTAACTACCTCTGCCCTGAACAGCTTCTCATTGCGATCCTATCCACCTTTGAATCTCGCGAGCTGCTGCCATTAACGACCGTCGATCGCCGCTTCAATGGTACCGCCACCACAATACTGCAACACCGCCTCCTTCATACCGCGAAGATGGAAGGACACGAGGTGATGCTGGAGAGCTACCACCCAAGTGCCAGGAACTCAACACCGTCAATGACGTGTAGATTTGCAGGCGTTGACTTCCTGGGATACCAGTGGACCGGCGAGGAAGATATGGACTTGCGTGATCTCTCCCACCTTTACTCCCACTTCCGCCCGGTCGTCTCCGAAGAGACGCGACGCATGCGGAGAGTGTTTGGTCGACGGATGCCGGGCGCCCCACTCGAGCAAGAAATCGGCGACCAGCCAGTTGTCCAAGAACTCATCCTGGATGACGGAGAGCTCTTCTCTCAACTTTGCACAACAACTAGCTTGGTCAAGTCAGGTCCGAACCCTGGTCTTCTCGCTAGCCACAGCAATATTGAGAATGGCGTGGTACGCGTATGGAGACACTGGCTAGCAAAGGCGGCCGCCAGGACAGCCATTTGCCCAGCAGGGCAAGGACCAATCGACGAGAGCACCATCTTGTGGGCCGACGCTACGAAGAATGTCGGATTGCGATTCAGCGTTACCGATATCACCAAGGAGCGTCTACCTGTCTACCGCGGATTGGACGAGGATGCTCCTGTCGCCTACTCTCTGCACTACCAAGGTAAGATCACCATGTCCAGACCCATGTGGCAGGCAAGCGGCAAGCGACTAACTATGACACTAGAGTTACTGGTTCGCACAAGCCAAGTACTGCTGGCGATGGAGAAATCAGCAGTCCAAGAAGTTGTCGACTCAGGTAAATCAGCCATCATAGCTTCATGAAAGTTTCTTCCGTCCGGCCAAGACCGGGCCGGTTAAACACAACACCCACGACTACCCCAGGGCGCGCAGTGTCGACGAGCTCAACTCGCAACATCAACATCGAAAAGTTTCGAGAAGTGCAAGCAAGTGGGCCAAGTCCTCGCAGATCGGTATTGGCTC